GTTCGTGGATGGTGGGGGGGCGTGAAAACCCGCGCTTAGTCAGCTCTAAACTGACGCCGGGGCGTCAGTGTATTGGGACCCGAATTGTAGGTGTGCTCGCTTATAAATATCACGTGCATCAAGCCCCTTGCCTTGGATGTTTCTTTTTCGCCTCACTGGTGAGCAGTCTGGAATAATGGAGTTCTTGACGAACTTAGACCAATGAAAACTTTGGCTTGCCAGTGAGCTCTAGAACTTAATGTCTCGGTCTTGACCCAGTTTCCAATTCGTTGATCAACTTATTACTACTTACAACACAAAATTAAGAAGAAATGGCCGTGATAATCAAAATGAGGTCTTCTATATTTGTACAGTGTCGAATCATTGCCAGGTTTCCTTGATAAACTAGGTTGGACAGAACATCATTACCTACTTCCAGCTCAAGATAAGCAAAAGTACCCCACAATATTTCAAAATCAGTCGTCCACGTTGTCTCATTATCTCATTATTCCAAATATAATCTTCATTCTAAGCAGAAAAATAAATTAATGATGCCGTTAAAATCAACATGCACAGAATGACAAACCAAATACGAAAAGACCAAGTTTTAAATCTCCCCGCTTTTTCTGTCCCTACAATTGCTCGAAAGCTATCCAGGTCGCAAAGAATGTGCAAACAGCTTGGACACTCTACACAAGTTCGAAAGAGCTTCTGATGTTTACCCGCAGCAATTCTGGCGTCCATTTGGTTTCTTTCACTTACTAATGATAGAAATAGTTAATTGTAATACTTTAGGAGGGGCTTGAATAGTCGCCCGGTGGTTTCTTATAAACACATAATTCTACATTTTATCCTAAATACGTTTGATATGGATATCTGAATACTATTCTTAGCAGCTCTAATTAAGTAGAACTGCTCAATAGCTTTCCATAGCCTGATATTGTTTAGTTGACTATGTAAACAGTAGATAAAATCTACTAGTTTGTAACGCGATGACCTGCGAGCGACTTATGACTGCCATGTTTTTTCGTACACATTCAAAAATTTGGGATCATTTCACTTTCAAATGATTTAGACAAAAGATCAGACAATGATGTTTGTATTTCTATAACCTCAGACTAGGGAGGAATTCATGTCTGTGTTTGACTCATTCATCCATGAGATGGCCAAACCGTCCAAAGCCAATCTCATAAAGCCCCACTCATTAAAATAATCGACCCATACGCCATTATTAAACGCTTCATTTTGACTCTTTATGCGACTGGAGAGCGACGGAAACCTTGCTTAGCGACCTGGGCCTTTGCTGCTGCAACTGTTGAGAAAAGAATGTTAGCATGAGACCATAAGAGATATACGCAAGAGAGCAAGAGAAACAGAAGAGAGACATACTGGTCTTTTCAGGGTTAGGGTCAACAAATCCGCAACCAGTCTTCCCAGCTTGCAAAGCAGCGGGCTCAGCAGAGCAGACACCCACTTCAGGGTTACCTGCGCAGCACTTTGAAGAGCAGTCTGCATTGCTGGTACAGCCTCCAGTGATAAATCTATCAATTTGGTTAGTATCCAGCTGCTGTAGATCTTCAGATGGAGGATAAAACTTACTGTTCTCCCTTGCCGGTACCAACGTTCTTTGAACCAGCTGCGTTAGGGGTAACGGCTAGAACAGCGGAAGTGACTGCAATATGTTAGCGACCAGAATTTGTATATCGAATTATGACCAAAACATACAAGCAAGGACAACAGCGAAGCTAATGCGGACCATTTTTGCGGTATTGAAGGGTTTTCATTCAAAAAATGAGTGGGTATATTATAAAATTGAAGTCGTTGAAATGGAAGAAAAGCAAAAATGATAGAACGATAACCAGATCGTGAAAGGAATAAAGTTGAGCTGAAGGTTTGAAGATTGGATGAAGATGAGATGATTTAAGACTGTGATGGGCATTCTATCTTATATAGAAGTACGGACGTAATCGATTCAAGCTTCTGCCCCCATACCAAGTCCACCAAGCTCACCCGAAGTAAACAATTGTCTCACTTCCTCCTAACATTCATCGTTTCTGTGACAAGAGCCCACAATCAAACAACCAACCCATGGCCGGAGTTCAGCCTTGGTAAGGTCACCCATATTGATGCATCGCAAGTTTCGACAGGGGTGTTGACAACCATCAACCACCCAACCACCCAAAAAATGCTAAGCGAAGCGTATGATCGACGTTCCCACCAATTCCCCTCGTGAGTCGCGCGACTGAAAATATGGGGAAAGCTAGTACCCCAAGAACTCCGAAGGCTTTTATTCGTCATCGCTTGAGAATCGATCACTTTTCTCGACGTTCCGAACGATCGAACGGCAAAATACCCACTGGTGTACCGCGGTTGTACTGTTTGATCTCCGTGTCAAGCCTCGTGAACGATGAAATCGGAAGAAAATTCTCCGAAGTGCATTGGCGGCAATGTGAGGCTTTCAGTTCCCTGGGTCTGTTGTGGATCTATGGAAGCTACTGGCGCGGATACAGGTGCTCCCGACTCACCATTACCTTATGTATGCATTACTTGGTTATCAATTTTATTGGGCAGGATTATGCCCATTGCAGTACTGCCCAAAGCAAGCACTGTAGATATTGTAGTAAAAAATCCCCAAAGATGAATTAAAAATGTGTCATGCGCGGCTCCTGCTGGCCGTGTCGCAAGACCTCTGTAGAACGTTCCCCATTTCCAAGACTGAAATGCCCGTGTTTGCGGTCGTATTAGACACGCCCGTTACTGAGTACACTCTGCCCCTCCCGTTCTCAGTCCATTACGTCAGAAAAGCTCCAGCCAAGTCAAAGTTGTTCTGAGTGACCCGCAAAGAAGCGCAATTATGATTCGTGCAAAAGCTCGCTATATAGCCTAAATCTCCAATGTGAGGAAATCTCCCGGTAGTCAAAAAAGGGGCAGATGTGCATTTTTTATTAGCGAAACTTAGATGGTCATTTTTTGTTCTATTAGTTCATCCGATAAGATCAATTTTTTTAAAAATACTAGAACGATCATGTCAATTGTTCTAAATTATCTATTAAGCACTATACTACAGTAGACCAACTGACGCTGATTGATAGGATTTAACACTTTTTGTCCCCCAAAGCCCCTTTTCTTTCATTTATGAGATTTGTAGCAGACACCTATTAATGCGTATGAAACATCTGTGTTCAGCGCATCTGCTTTTTGGCCAGGAAAGGGGTTTAGTGGACAAGATGGTCTTCTTTAAATACCTCCCCTAACTTTGATGCTTCATTAAACTTACAACAAAACAAAACGACATCCTCCAATAATCACTTGACTTATGGTCGAATCTCAAGATAACATGCTTACATTGAAAGCCCAAATCTTTCCTCCTCTAAGTGCAAACACACAGTATACGGGGGAAAATGGCTATTACTTCATAGAATCTGCAGGTACTAGAATAAAAAAATGTACTTAGGTACGAGTTCTTGATAATGTAGCTAGCTACTCAATGAAACACAAAAAAATGGCTTCCCCAACGCTGTCTTATGATTTAATATTTGGAAAAGCTAGACGCAGATCTTTGGCCATTACCTTGTGGTTTCATTCTCATATTGCGAGTCCTTCATACCCTCCACCCAAAGTTTAACTTCATTAGAAAGTGCGCTCTTCACCCTTCTAAAACGAGCCTGAACATTACCCATGCGAGTCATGGCGAAGACTATCCCTAATCAACACATCCACAGAAACCTCTCCAAACCTTATGTACTTCAGACCCATGAAGACATTTTCGAAGTTCGTATTGTGAAGCTTCGTAAAATAACCTCCCTCATCCAGCTTCTCGATGTCTTCGTGCTTGCTCCAGAAAACTCTGATCAGCTTCCATTTATTGAGTGGAAGTTTGACATGTGCCATGATGGTCTCAGCAACTTCTCAGACGGATCTTGAGTTTGAGCTCATTGTCACAACATCTCGCTTGCGTGTAATGCAACGTTCAGAGTCAAACGGAGTGGAGTAGGACGCAAGAACGATGAAGGTTTCGGACTTTTTGTTTCCCTCTGGTATGACTCCATACGCACTGTCTGGCTTTTTGGATTGTTTTCCATGAAGGCACGGTCGATTTCCTCTTGGTATGACTTGTAGTCTGAGGAGGCATCAACGACTTGTGGAGTAGAAGCTGGAGTTACTGCCATGTTAAGGGTATTTAATATAATCTACCGCTGGTCAGAGGATAGTTGGAGTAGAATTGGTATGATGAAGGCACTAACCGTTTTGAGGGGTGTGTGTATTGATATTTGAAAGTGTTTAGTTGTGCTCCTTGCAAGTTGTAGTAATGAACCTTTCCCTAGTATTTATGAGCAGAAAGGAAAATAAATAAAGCAGAGCTATTCTCTTTAATATTAGGGTTAAGTAGCGATATGAGTCCGTTGGCAGAGCTGATTGTGTTGCTCAGAACTTTCAGTGTCAAGGACTCACAAGGTTGTGGTGATAGCACCAGTCAGGCTGGTCGCTTGTTGTATTATGAAATATTCTTTGCATAATTCTGGGCACAGGCGTTGAACAAATTAACCTTCACCCTAACATTGACAGTAAACACGAGACGCAAAATCTGTGTATTTATCCTTTTGACTACATTGATCCTGCGTTCCAAACACAACAAATGCACAAGTACATGGTTTCCGCGAATTCTGGAAACTAAATTCAGATTTCTCCAATAAGGAAACCCACCAAGAATCAATGTTTATGAAAAGACTGGGGTTTTTTATGGATCGTTACCCAGCTAGCGCAGACAACCATCTATGGGTTAAGATTAGTCCAAGAATATATCCGACACTTGTTTTGATATATTGGATCACTTTCTCTAGTGAATTTCTAAGAAAGGATACTCAATCAGGTGAAATTGATTCTGTCCTGTTGTGTAGATTTCTCAATCTACGTGCCTTGATGTACTACAATATGTGCTTGTGGCGGTCACAAAACATAGCAGTGAGATCGCTTCAGGTTTTTCATATTTAGAGCAATAAATGTAATCTATGTGACAGGCCAAATGCTTCAGACAATGGGTTTATTTATTGCGAGAACCTTAGGAAGATTTACTCAAATATCCGAAACGATACAGGCCAAGAAAATCTCCCATAAGTGCTTTTGATCTCTACCTCTAGGGTGTAAACAAGATTATGGTTTCTATCTACAGGTGATTAAAAACACTTAGAGTACCGAAAGCACCTTGCTGATAATATACCAATATTCGTCAAAACCATTTGGATGAAATCACGGATGGCGAATAAGATGAGAGTTGTTCGCCAATAGAAGACGAATAGTCATTGCAGAAGAATGGATTAGTACTATGTATCACCTCAAGCTACTGGGCTAATCAACCCCTTGAAAAGCCAATACTGTTGACTTGAGATGGAATTGTACAAGATGATCAAAGCATTCCTCCTTCTGATGATTGAACAAATCGAAATACTCTTCCTCCTATCGGTTATTGATACTTTTCTCCGTGCGCTCATCATGGTATATGAAAATATCAACAAGTACCTCGGCGAAAGCTGCCTTCATAAGTCCTGTGAGAACATCCTTGACATTTGACTCTCGCAATTCAGTGGTGCCAGTAAGTTGCGTTCCGTAAAGCACAATATTCTTGTTCCACACGGCTCTGGCTTGACCCAAAATGCCTGGTTCCTTGTCTTGGGCTTCTCTGATTGCTTGGCCAACTTGAGTGGGATCCATGTCGGTGTTCAATGTAACGACACAGGTTTCGCCAGTATGACAGAAACTGTCAGTGTCTGTCTTAGTGAAATTGGTGACACAAGCCAGTGCAAGGAAGGTCTTAGGCTCTTTGATGGGGGCTGGTGATTGTGGGATTGGACTGGCCTTTGGTGTGTCGATGGCAAGGGGGCTTGAGGCTTGTGCGGCTACTGGAGTCTCAATACCTGCTGGCTTTGGGGAACTTGGCATGGGTGTAGAAGGGGTATTGATGCCGCTGCCACAAACTGAAGTTGCAACGGACATGGATTGGGTTTTGCCGTTTCTGATCTCCTCGCTAAACTCCAAAGTGCGGGAGGTTGATTTAGTCTCGGGGACGGTTCCGATCTCCTCGCTAGCTTCCGAAATGTTGGATGGTGACTTGGGCTCGTATGGAGGTTTTGATTGTGAGAAATCAGCTACGACCTCCTCCTCAGCATGAGCCTTACTCTGGTTAGCACTAAATATCTGCAGACGTGAGTTAGTAGGGCTGCTAACCTTGACAGGTGTTGAGGACATTTTGACGATCCTACTAAATGGTGATTTTGCAGGTTATAGTCTTGGTTGTCATCTAGTATTTATCAGTATACTCATCAGTACACTCAAAGCCAGATGGAAAGATGTCACTTACCTTGTTTTGGTATTTGGTGCAGCTCTGTACACTAGATGAACATCAAGATGATCAAAGATGTGCTTGTATTGACCTCGGCTGAAGTTGTCTGTTGGAAGGGAGTTGGTGGAAAGGGCGCCTGGTAATTGTAGTTCCTACAGAGAACTGTGTGGCTGGTCCAAACTACAAACCGCCTGAAAGTCACGTTACCGTGTTTATTAGATGCCCCGTAGTAACTGCCTATTTGGGCGGAGTTTCTAGATTGGGGGAAACATGGCTCAGCCAAAACCTGCTTAAACAGTCAACAATCTACAATTCACTTCTATCTCTTGAGAAAGACCCCTCAGACAAGCAATTACCCCACCTTTTGAGGTAGAGTTACCCTTTTGGGCAGAGCACCCATTTTGTTACTCTTGTGGTCTGAAGGATTATGATTTCTTTGATTCACCTTCTGATGTTTACCTACTGGTGGGGCAAGCAAAGTATTAGGTTGCTCTCAAGAGAATACGGAAGCATGTGGAAAGTGATATCTAAATTCTATACGATTCTCAACAGTGGAAAAGGTAGAATTTTGCTATGGCTGGTGCGCAATACTATAACATCCAGTACTTTTTGCAGCTGAATATAGAGGTCATTTACATTCGCACTTTATAAGTTTGGGAATAAGTCTGCTTTTGTAGCAAGAAGATTATCACAGACATGAATAGAATTAGAACATATCAATCAATGAATTAGCAAAGGCAACTGAAGCAAGTCCATGTGCCAAATTCATATGATGGTAAAACACGCCTCTTTTCCTTTATCCTTACAGATTTCTGGGAATTTGCTTCGGTATTTACTAGTCATATGATTCTTTCAGAGAAGCTAACTAAATCTAAGTGACTAGATTATTGCTCTGCAGGTACTATATAAAGTACAATTCTGCTATAAGTTCATTGACCAGGTTTTCTTGAAATATTTAAGCAAAAAGGGTTAATTGTTCCAGAGCATTTGTATCACTAGTTTGGTTGTACGACGGTTCTAAAGTAGCGTTATATTATCACCATAGTTTTGTCCAGAGTAATGAAACCACTTTCTAACAGACCCATGATGGGTAGCTAGACAATGATTGGGAAAATTGTTTGTCTATGAGTCTACCTTCACAATACCATCAGTACCTAGAACAAACATCCAGAATTGAGACCCCAGCCAGTTCTCACAAGGTTTCCAATCATCAGTTTACGTACAGTGTCAGAAGCATGAGTCTATGTAAAGTGGTGTGTTTATTCTACTGGGACCATTTCTTTTTGATGTTTGGCTACTGAGAGTTACATAATCTTCAACCTCTCTATCCCTAGTACGAAGAGAACGTGCTGTTTCCTTTTGTAGCCATCTAGATCAAGTGATGCTATACCAGAAAAATGGACACACTGACAATTTAAAGAAAGCGGTTTAGAATAATTTTGTTTTGCAGCCTCTCGTTAGCGCAGTTATTCCCAATAGTTGGTGTAGTTGTTTCAGGAGTTCTGGAAAGAAAATACTATGTAGATGTAAGCAGAATTTTATAGGGAATTTGAAAAACATTAGTGGGAGGTTGATGCCCTTTTGGATATAACTTTCAGTATTGATTGTCTCCATAATTACAAGAGAAGACTACTTTTAATGAGGCCAGATATACATAGTCCTTTACATCAACTCTTTGAGCCGTAGGAAAGTTTAGCTTTTTCAGATATAGACTCTAAAGAATGAGAAAACAGTCACATGTTACAAGCTATTAGGCTTGAATGCTACGTGGAAGAAATCGTCCACATGTTCTAAAATGGCATAAAAGTAATTTATGAGACGCATGGATTATCCATTTTATTCAAGGAGCCCAGACTACCAACCCTATAGAGCTCATGATAATGGACGCTAGATAGGAAAGCCAAGGTACTCCTGTTTTCTCCTAGTCTATTTAGTTGACTATTTGTCCTCCCAAATCTCAAATTTTGTCTACCAACACATCCACAAACACCTTCGCAAAACGTGCTTGCTTAAGTCCCATCAGGACGTTCTTAACATTTGATTCAGCGAAAACTGTGACATCACTCTCATCGCGTCTCTATTCATAAATAGAAAACTTCTTGAACCACACAGCTCTGAAATCAACCAAACGATAGTTGAAGGGAATTGAAAAGTGAGCCAGAATAGCGTCGCGAACTTGAGTGATGGTCATATCGGTTTTCACTTCGATAACTTCCTTGCTTCCTGTTTCATAACGATTTTCATTGTAAGGAAGTTGACGACGTGCAGTAAAGAAAGCGAGAACAAGGAATGTTTCTGGTTTATGGACAGTGGCGATTTCAGTATGAACTGTTGTAGTGGGTGTGTTGCAACCACTTTGTTGAGTGGAAGTTGTACCGGACATTGCTGGCATGTTGTTTGTAATAATGGATTTGAGCTCCTCTCGGATGATTTGCTTAATATACTCTCTAAGTTCCACTCTGCTGATGGAGACCAAGGGAGGATTCTCGGAGGAAGAGCCATGCTGGGTTTGCTCCAACGTTAGCATACAGGGCGGAAGTGTTAGACGTTTGAGTGACTAACCTTGTTGACAGAGGCGGTATCCATTGCGCAATCTTAGGAGAAGTATTAATTGATATCACGCTGTAGTGTTAGATAGCTCCCTAAAATTGTTAAGAAAAGTTACGAGGGGGGTGAATAAGCATTCCTAACCTCTATGTTTGTGTAGGTAAAGTCTTGAGTGCAAGTATAGACTTGAGTCTTTATAAGAATTCTCTTACTCAATATCAGTAGTGTTGGTATTAGGACACAGCCTAGAGATGTACGATCAAAGTTTGAGGAGTTGGTCTGAAGAACTTTTGAGTGAGAGGATGGTAAGACCGCAGAATCAAGAGTCCTTAACCTAATATTTGTATGTGGTAATGGAGTACGCTAGTCCCAATGCATTGGAGCATGTTGAGCAGGGGGGTATGACAGACAAGGCTTAACTTCCTTAGGTGAATAGCCATGTGTAGCTTCGCGTTGTTAGCAAGGAGGTATACATTTGGAGAAAAGTGAATTTATGTTACACCTATCCTTAAACTCCAATTCACGTCTATATTATTTATAAGAAGAGTGAATTCTTCAACCATTGTTTACATGAACACACATGACTTTCTGGGTTGGAGTTATAGAATTTTCCAGTGACGTTATTTGCCTAACGCAAGAACAAGAGAGCTCTCTTTATGTCTGTGTAGTTTCACAACTTGCTACGTTTCGTCAGTAGCACTACCTTCAGCCACTTAGTAAAAATAAGGTTCTAGCTTAACATTGGCTCTCTATAGAGCAGCCCTTTTTGGGCCATGACACTAAAGCATATACATCTACAAAATGCATAGTAGTAGTCACGTGATATTCTGCGTGTGCGCTGGTCCTGTCCCTCCCTCGATTAATCTCTAGGTACAGGCACACCAGTAAACTCAAGCTCCCCCTTCAAGTATGTAGCAAGCCCAAAATTACTAATCAATCATCTCATCCTCATTTAGTTCCTCTAAAAACAGGGAACTCTTTTACCTCAATCTTCATTTTGTCGTAGCTATTGTACGCCATACAAGTAGCAATTGTATAGTAATTCGTAGAGAACCAAGAATAGCCAAAGTTGGTGCCGCTAGTAGGGTATAGCGAGGCGGCAAAAGGAGCCATTATTATACTTTCCCACTTGAAGTACTCTTTGACTGACAGGCTACCTTTGTTTTCCAATCATTATAACGTGGTTTATCAGCGAGTCGATCATATCAGCGAGTCGATCACTTTTCCTTGGCACTACCTCCTCAAACTTCAACACACGTTTTCTTCAACTATCTACCATGGAAATTCAAACTCAAGAAGCGCGAATTACTCTAGCTATCGAGGCTATTCGGTCGTCCAAAAAACTAAGCAAACGCTCTGCGGCAAAGATCTACAATGTACCATATACGACTCTTTCCGACAGAATGGCTGGCCGAACCTACCGCCCAGATTCTCAAGCCAATTGTCATAAGTTGACTGAGTTAGAAGAGGAAGTGATTATTCGGTATATACTGGATATGGATTCCAGAGGATTTGCGCCCCGGCTCGCTGGTGTAGAAGATATGGCTAATTTTATCCTTGAATCGCGGGGGGGAAGACGCGTCGGCAAGCTCTGGGCCCATCGATTCGTACAACGACAACCAGACCTTAAGACGCGTTTTAATCGCGTTTACGACTTCCAGAGGGCCTTATGCGAAGATCCTGACGTGCTAGGCGCATGGTTCCGGCTAGTAGAGAATATGAGGGCGAAATATGGGGTTACAGACTCCGACTTCTACAACTTCGACGAGACAGGCTTTATGATGGGTGTTATTTGTCCTAGAATGGTTGTTACTCGTGCAGACCGACGTGGTAGAGGCAAGGCAGTTCAGCCAGGCAATCGGGAATGGGCTACAGCAATTGCCTGTATTAATGGGGAGGGCTGGAGTATTCCTCCATTCTTGGTAGTTCAGGGCAAGAACCATCTCTCCAACTGGTATACCGACGGCGGCCTCCCACCTAACTGGGTTATTAAACCGACAAGCAATGGTTGGACAAATAATGAAACAGGCCTGGAATGGTTAAAGCACTTTGATAAACACACTACAGCTCGTGCAAAGGGTCTGTATCGAATACTAGTTTTGGATGGGCACGAGAGTCATGAATCGGCTGAGTTCCAAGACTACTGTACGAAACACAACATTATTACTCTTGGACTACCTCCTCATTCATCCCATCTAACCCAGCCACTTGATGTTGGGTGCTATAGTGTGTTAAAACGAGCGTATGGTCGGCAGATTGAGACGTTTATCAAGGCCCATATCAACCATATTACAAAGGTTGAGTTCTTTCTAGCCTTTACAGCAGCATACAAGGAAACAATGACAGTCCTAAACTGTCAGTCTGGATTCCGCGGAGCTGGCCTAGTACCATTTAACCCGCAAGCAGTGCTTTCAAAGCTTGACGTAAGGTTACGGACTCCAACTCCCCCTCGGACGTGTAGTGCCAACTCCCTCCCCTGGGTGTCCCAGACCCCTTCCAACCCAACTGAAGCCCTTTCACAATCAACTCTTGTACGAAATCGTATAGCCTGTCATCAAGGAAGCTCGCCAACTCCACTTTTTCAAACAGTTGCTGCGTTAGCAAAGGGTACAGAGCGAATGGCACATGAGATGACCCTTTTGTCTGCTGAGGTCCGTACCCTTCGCGCTGCAAATGAAGCCCTAAGTAAACGCCGTAGGGCTAAAAAGACTCGTGTCCGCCAAGGAGGGGCACTTATAGTAGAGGATGTACAGGATATGTTAGCTCAGGAGGATGTAGATGAGCAAGTACGACGCGACATGCGTGAGGCGGGGGTTGGTTATAAGGAGGGGCAACCTTCTAGGCGGCGCTGTAGAACTTGTGGAAAAGCTGGTCATAACGCGCGAACTTGTCAAGAAGTTATAGATATATCTAGTTCGTCAGATATAGAGAGCGATAATTAATTTAATATATTGTGGTTGATTTATTTAGGTGTAAAGTTCTGTGCCAAGAAAAAGTGATCGACTCGGTGATATGATCGACTCGCTGATAAACCACGTTACTCTAAAGTAGAATAGGTAGATATAATAACTAGGTAGAGGTAAAAAGGTAAAACGGTTATACTAAATTGTAACGAGTACTCAAATTGGCTAACTAAACTTGGCTGGGTGTTCGCTGGTTGGTATGCTATGATAAGAAGAAGACTATCGGGTTGTTCACTTTGGAAGTGAACTCGTTACTTGTATCAAAGATGTCAAACTAATATGATAAGATTGATAACTAAGTTGAGCACGAAGCTCCTATCTAATGGCAGACGTGCCAGTCTTATATAGAACCTCCGTTCTCCAAATCCCAAATGCCGACAACTCGCTTGTCGCGCTGTCGCGCTTTTATCACGTGACTATGAATGCTATGAAATCCTTGGATACTCAACAACCCTGAGTAACCACTGCTATGATCTAACTACTCTGGATGTATCTGTCCTGTCAGAACGCCGTCTGGACTAACTCGTCACATGCTAACACGTGATTCGTGACATTACACCCCTAAGTACTATATTAATACTACCTATCTTATAACTAAAGAATATAACCTGGAAAATAGCTTATATTTAGGTATATCTACGGCTCGAAGTAAATCCTATCGCTTTCGAAAATGTCCTATAATCTATCCCATCGTTATTACTATAACAAGAACTAATAACCACCAGAAGAACACCGAATACCTTTCTTCTCTCTCGCAATCAGCAAGCCAAGCAGCGAAATAGTCCGTATCAGTACGCACACGCGCGACTATGAAAGGAAATTCATTTACATAAGCATTCCACCATGTACTCGTATCCATCCATCCAGCCAGCCAGCCAATCCAGCATTTCCCTGCCAGAAAGTACAGTAACATCAGCATAACAATCCATCCATCCATCCATCCATCCATCCACCAACTCAAAATCAGAAAGCCACAATTTCGCCATCGGTACGCCAACCCTCCTCAAAATTCGCCGCAAGTGATAGAGACACTAAATCAGATCAGACCGGGAACGCCGACTAGTACCGCTCAACTCCTATTCATAACATTCATGCAGAAATCTCAACTCTCAAATCCCGCCAGTAGAAAATTGGATGGGTGTACAATTAATCGAGAGCTTGAGCTTGGGAGCTTTTCTGAGCAGCTTTCAGCTTCTGATCGTCGACCCAATCTTGGCCGAAGCCGTAGATTGGACGACCTTGGCGACGGAGTGAGAAGACGACCTGGAGTTGGTATTTTGGTCAGCTTAAGATCTCGATGTGATATATGGGAAAAGGGAATGGAGGACTGACATCTGCGACGGTAACAGTCTTTCTGTTTTTGTAGTCGACGATGGTGGTGATATCCAACAAAATCTGTGGTGATTAGACGGGCACTTTGGTAAAAGGGAGGGAGGGATCGGTACTTTCTCCAGGTATGCCTTCAGCGCCACTCTTGTTTCTTCATAGATCGCTGCGGAAATACGCTTGACACCTCCACGGCGAGCGAGACGACTGTATTCGTCATTAGATCAGAACTTTGTAAATTGGAAACAGACCATGGAAGGACATGGAGTTGTAAAGCGGGGTATCACATACCGAATATCAGGTTTGGCTATTGGACCAAAGATCACGTTAGCAACCATACTCAATCTCTAAGTTCATCATTACCACCAAGCCGCGAAACAACTTACTAATACTCTGAATATTGTCCTTGGCGATCTTTCTATCACCAAAGTAAGCTTCACTCGTAACCCCAGGACAGGAAGACGTACCTATGCCTCCTACTCGTAAATCCACGACCTTTACCCAACCCCTTCGAGTCTTTACCTCTTCCGCCATGGTGAGCTACACCAGCACCCTTAACAGTCTTGCCAGAAACCGAAGGCCGGCCTCTGGGGCCGCCGTAGGAGGCATGTGGGGAAGGCATGGTTTAATGGTTGACGGGATATTTGGCTTGCAGGCTGACTGACGGGACAGGTGACAACGCGGCGTCGGGAAAGGGAATACACGCGCCGTTTGCACGTTAGCGCGTCGAGGGGTTCAACTTCCGTGGCGGCGGGACACGGAGGGATTACCGGAGCTTCGGGATGCTGGCTGATGTTGAAGAGAGTTCAAGGATATCACCCTGGACACTAACCGGAGCTGATCTTGTGAAATGTGCACCAAGATCGGAAGAGAACCTCGTTGAAGTTAAAGACGGGCGGAAGTTGAGGTGCTCAGGTGGCGAAATGGAAATATTTACTCCCGGTCTCAGGCTTCCAGCGCAAACGGAAGTACGGCCGGCAACCGCGCTAGCATAGATCATGTGACATCTATCAAAGCGGCTTTTCAAAACATTCTGCTACAATCCCGACCAACCATTTGATATTATATTTCCTTTCAAGTCTTTGTTTAAATAAAGACTCTATTAAGGCCACAATAAGCCTAATACATAACAATGCCACCGGATGAAGCGTGGTAAATACCAACGAGTGTGTGGCCTCTCCTTCCCCTCAACGCCATGGCATTAGAAAACCCACAATGCAAGACATAGCCCATTGTCTAAATGATCAAAGTTATGTTCAATTCATTATTCGCAAATAAAAGTGGCTTCGCTGAACAAGAAACCTGCCTCGGTGGTCTCCTCCTCGCCAATCTTGACCTTGAGCGAGATCGTAGACGGGGAATACTAATGTGCTGATTAGAACAAGTACACAATAAAAAAGGACAATACGAACCTGGTAGATATATGGCTTTGTGCCAGCAGCACTAGCAACAATCGTCTTCACGAAGCCAGGAACTTCGGCCATGACATCGACCCTGTCACGTCTTTCTTCTAATGACCCCTCCATCACGGCTTCCACCTTCTTTCCATCCTTATATTTTCCATTCCACTCGATCCTGAGTGCTTCTGGAGCTGGCCAGTCGTTATCAGCATCAGCTTTAACCTTGGTGTGGGTGACTTTATTTGATGACCCGGCTGTGACAATCTCAGTGTCCGTGGCGATTCCACCAACATTAACAAGAGTTGAACCGTAAGATGGAGGAGTTTGGTACTCCATCATGATACCAGAGTATTTTGGACCCTGGAAGTTGACAAAGGTCCATTTTGCTGCGGCATGATGTGGTTTCATGCCTTGGAGAGCGTGGATGAACAGAGCCTTTCCCTTGAAATCGATCGGTCCATCTTTTGTCATAATCGAGCCCTCAAGCTTGTTTCTCGGCCAGAAAATATGCCTCATTGTACCCCATGGTGCCTTTGGGTCGGTTCCGTAGAGTGTCTTTCCATCCTTGCCCACTTGAAAACCCGGCGCAGTTCGAGTAACGGTGAGGTTGACAATGGAGTTTGGGTTCGTCATAGATTTGATGGCATAGGAGTTTCCGTCTTCGGACATATCAATAGCACAGTCATGGGCATAGAAGCTGTTCTTATCCTCACTGAAGTCTACATCCCTCAGTTGATCAGACGACCAAAGGTTGGGCTTATTTTCGCTTTTTGGGTAGAAGATTTTGCAGTTGAACTGGCATGTAGTTCGAATTCCACTTTACACCCGATTAGCCTTGTCTGGTATGCAAACCCGCCAGAGAGCGTACGCAACATTGCTGTAGATCACCTGTGCCAAACCTAGATGTCCACTATCTGCCATCAAATAGAAGCTCTGGGTTTCCACGCAGGTAGATTCCATAGCCTCCCATTTTAAGTCGCTTCGTTTGACCTCGGAGTATGGAGTCGTCTCTGCTTGCTTTGCTACCGAGTGGATGGCCCCTGGGCCATAGATTGGTTCTGCTGTGCCTGCAACATTGGCCAGCCTGTAAATATGACGTGGGATGATTAGCGCTTTGCAGATGTGCGAGAAAGGAAGGAGAATAGGAAGAGGGCATACGCTGCTTTCGCCCAGTTCATCATCTTGAAGGTATTTTGTGGGGTTATTTATTGGGATTTGGTTGTTGTGGTATGTAGAGTATAGGTAGTTCTGACGAAGAAGTGGCGGTCGATAATTTAGGTAGAGAATTCCCCGCCTTCCGCGGAGCCGACGTCAGAGCAAAGCTTCGCTGTCCAAATAGCTGCAGGGATTCGATCAATGCGGTAACCGCCACAGTGCTACAATGTGAGCAACGCAAATCATTCACTTGCACATTCAATTTTGGTAGCAAATCTTGACTAACTTCCAAATGTGTGCTTTCAATTCTCTGCCACAAAATTGTAGTTGATTCGCTACCATGTTGCAAGCAACTCCTCCACTTCCACCGTAATGCGCTGCGATGCACGAGACGACGGATGCTGATACCGAAGCCTGCAACCACCGCAGGCCTAGCTTCCAATCGGCCACTGAACGAGTCAAGCTCCAGCTCCAGCTCCAATAGAGCTTCCGCTTGCCGGACAGCTTTCATCCCGAGCAACTTTCTGCTCTATTGAGCCTTCTTGCTCTTCGCAGTGCTCGCCTTGCCAACACCCATTCCGTGTGTATAAACAAGCTCTCCTCCTAGCGCTGCTCCAAAGAAAACGATTGGCATCGCCAATGCACAGCTAATGCCCAAGTTGATCGAGCTGGGTGCAAAACCCTCGACATTGCGTCTGGTGTTCCAGTTGTAGGCCAACATTCCCGCAACAACATCATTGAGTGCCGCATGTGTAACCGCCGTTCGAACCTTCTTCGTACCAAATCCATCTCGTTGAATCAATGGAAGCATTTGTGTTGCACCAGAGAGAATGGCTGGGACCATGGTGACTAGAGCTAAGACGGTTGCATAGTAGGAGAGGAGAGGGAGCATCTCAAGAGGCAGCTTGAGCTCCAATGTCTTGATGCCTGTCTGGACATATTCTGAGGTGAGAGGGCTCTTCGACGCAACGTGAAGGATATCGAGTAAGCCTGCGAGAGTCACAAAGGCAATTGGGAAGTGCGCAAAGGCGGGATGGGCTGGTTTGCTAGACAATGTTAGTTGGATTGAGATTACATCTTCCATTGAAAAAGTCACGACTTACTTCGACATCTTGATGCGGAATTCTGGTTGATGTTGGTGATGAGTGAGGGTAGCTGCAAGTGGGACGGGAGATGGTCAGCAAGTTTAGCTGTCTGTTGAGTGGCCGAGACGAGGGGGCTCCTGCTTTTATTAAGTTCGCAGCTCCTCCCCCCTCAACGCAATCTCGGAAACCGAAGCTTACGCTACACAAAGTCAAAGTCAGACTCTGCACCTCACCTCGCCGTGATTATTTCTACTACATTTTGTATCATGATCTTGCTCAGATCATATGAACAGATATCAAGCTCCATCCATGTTGATTGTTTTCGTTCCACACAGCGACCAACTCCCTAGCACAGCATAATGCACCTTCCTCAGCAACCTGTGAATCTCATTGCATTTGCAACCACCTGCAGCAACCCAATCAGACGCTGGCCTTTAGTAAACCTGGAAATAGATAGTGAATGCGTACTTTTACCTCACTTTACATAGAAAATATTCTTGATAGGCAACAACTCCTATAAAATGAAATCAACCCAACTTCCCCAAATCATTCAGCTCCATCCTACAAGAACTAACGAGTTATTCCAGATAATAGCTATATGGCCTCTCATACATCTGACACCCATTTCCGAAATGCCGACCCATCCTATCCTAGAACCAGGGTCAAACAAGCCCTTTCAAGAAAGTACCTCCCCTTTACTACTTTTCTTTCCCAAATAATCCCAAAGTATCTTATCCTTTCAATTCACAACGCATTTTTTCTTGCCATTGGCTGCCGGAATTCTCGGCTAAACCAGTAAAGTGCTTTGAAGTACGCGATTTACATAATATCGCGCTCGCTGATCTCCAGATGAGGGGCCTGGATGATGGTAGGTTTGGAGAACTAGATTTTAATGGGAATAAGAGGAGAATTACGATGGATTGAGTTATTTAATTTCGGTCAGGGGGTGTGTAAGTTTTCTTGTGTTTAATACTCTTCGAATGGTGTACGAGATACTGCACTTTGATGGAAAGTAATTCTTGATAACGGAGGCATTATGAGGAGTCAGGAAAGGTTGATAGGCAATTACGATTTTGAATTTTGAAGGGATGGGTGGGTAGATTAGGTGAAGGCGCCAGGAATATATAACCACGAAGAACCAGTCTTTAAACAAATCCCTATCCATTTGAAGACCGCGAGACCTATAATAACAACCTCCCCACCTCTCCCCCCTCCTCCTTAGCACGGATTTGTTTGGTCTGGTTATCGGACAAAGAGCCGGGTAGAAGGGATATTTTTCTCCGGTGGGGGAGGGAGGGGGTAATAACGCGAAATGCTTTGCTCATCGTGGCGTAGTGAGAGTGGCAGTAAAGTGCTTGCTTCGTTTACAAGAGAGAACACAAAAGAAAGAGAAGCGAGAAGAGAAGAAAGAGAGATAGATATTGTTACTAATAAAAGATATGGTACTATTAGTATAGGTCATACGCCATTCGCACCATTCCCACTACACCAAAAGGTCCTAGACAAAACCCCATACCCAACGGGACATACGAATACAACGTATCACACATACACAGTCCTCCTCCTGGTGTCTGATCCCAATATTTTCCCAATATGAATGGCGTAGATAAAATTAAGTGACAGCATAACACTGTGTCGCCGACGACGTTCAAGAAACATGGGTCCTAGGGGAATCTTTTGTGGATATTGGGACTTGGGTTGGCGATGAGGATAGCTATGGATTGTGGGGGCTTGTGCGAATGTGATAGGTTTGTGAGGTAATGTGTGGTTGGTGGTATGTACGGTGTTTTTGTCTGAGCTAGGCTGTAACAAACTAGCTCGTCACTTTGACTTCTTACTATATAGGCGTGCTTGCTATGTAAACTTAACGGATTGACCGACCATATTTTATCCGATTTACGTATGTATAGGATAGCCTGAATATGAGTTCTGGTTTGGAGCGACGTGCTTTCTGGTACAATCCAGGACACCTACAGCGAAGTGAACCAAAACCCGATTACAGAATATTAGATAGAAAAGTTTTGGATTAGCGATATAAGCTATATTATTATTCGCAGAATAGTGTAATTAGATTAAAATAATAACAATGCACTTACTATAACTTTTATATAAGGCTTAGCTAAGTGTTCTACCAAAACCAAGGGGCAAAAATAAGCGAGCCAAAAAGTCAATTCCTGCCAAGACTTTACGGATATAAGCCCTATAGTTTATATAGTTTTTATTCATTAAAGTTAGTAAATGCGTTTTGTTCAGCTATTTGAGGCCCTTCCTTTTGTCTGTTAAAGTGTTTACTAAGTGTGCTCTTGTCACGGCGTTGTAGTGGAAGTGTCGAAGTGGTTGAGGATTAGTTTTGGTGTGGTTCACTTTGGCGGTCCTAAATTAGAGGAGTACTGACGGAATATATAATGAAAGAGGGGAAATCTCATTTTTACACTCCTTGTAGATATTGTAACATCTATAATTGGGATCGGTCATACCTGCAGACGGACTTGGGGGTGACTCATGTTTGAGCTATAATCGACTGAAACTGTGATAGTTGTTCCCCGTATAGAAAGATATGGAGACAGAGATACAGAGAGATTACGGATAGAGGGTTAGAAGAAGAAGGCAGGTTATTTGAGTTCAACTTCAGTGCTGGGTGTGGAGGAGTAGTTTGAATCATTGCTATTCTACCATTGTTTTCTGGATGTTGTGGAAAACTTGTAATAGAAGCGAAATTAGAACTGTCATCCTCGTTTTACAACCCTCCATGTGTGATTCAAGACTTAATGTTTGATGTACTCACTTAAGCCAGGTAAACTCTTCTGATGAATCAGCTCGAATATGGTAAATGAGAATTGTGATACTTTCTTGATGTTATCAGCCGACACAGATAACGAGCATTAAATAATTGAATTCCCCTACCAGCTGCAGTAAAGTTGGAATTCTTCTTGAGAAGCGTTTTCCTTCTAGATTGCTAAAACATGACAATCTACAAAAAGTGCATGATTCCCCCCTCACGAGAAAAGAACACATGACTATACCTCTAATTGTCACTGCAAGTCTATCACTTGATATGCTATGTTTCTTCTGTATGCAAGCGAAATTCTAAATCCTGTAAAACCACTGGGATTTTTCTCTTTATAAAAGTTTCACGTATTTCACTTATCCAGATCCACCGTTGTAGTATCCATTACCAGCAGAGCTTTCATATAATTCAGCACATATTCACTTCCAGTAGCCTATACGCGTGGTTCCATCTTGTGGATATGACGTAGAATGTAGTCTATACATTCTAAAAACTTCTATGTTGTGCTTGGTAATATGTTAATCCCTGTATGCTCAACCCCCTCCCCTCTCCCCCTCCCCCAACCCTGGAATTGAACACTTCTGGACAACAGAGCCACATGTAACCGTCCAGATCACCCTCCAATGGGCAACGTCAGACACCAAATCCAGGTGAATTCATCTTTCATACAGTAGAGCCACAAGTAACCGCATGGAGCTCCGCCCAATTAGGGGTGACTCGCACTCGCACGTGCTGGTTTGGGTTTGGGTTTGGACCGGAGCTGCCGCAGCCGCCTGGCCCGTTGCTCCATGTTGAGGTAGGACTACAAATAATCCACCTCCAGGGTACCTAATCCTCTTTCCATCAAACACCAACTCTTAGCAACACAGTAATCTCATTGTCAAGAAACTTGTGACCATACTTGTTCCTGCCTTCTATTCAAGCACAAACAAAAGTCAGTAACTCTCTGAACAGTTTCATCTCTACAGTACTGACAAGTCGTAGACACCAAGACTACAATCTGTAAAGACTTGACATCTACTTAAGTAGTACCATGTCATTCAATATGGCAAGTATCAGGTATAAGAAGTATTAGAAAGTTAAACTAACCAGTGTAGGGAATAGTACAGTACGTTCAGTACATAGTACAGTACAAAAATCGTAAAACTACTCACAGTTTTAGTGTTGTTAGTTCAACTATAGTACAAAAACTAAAGAACTAACTATACTATACTATAATAGTACTACAAAACTAGGTATAGAATCAGTTAATATTTAAAGCTATTAATAAGTCTATATCTGATCTAATTATAGTAATTAAAGCTGTGACGGAGCTGGATTTCATTTGACAGGATTTCATTCGCTTGGCCAAGCACGTGACGAGACTTGGCATTGGAACAACTTAAATAACTTCGCTCCTTTCAGATTCTCTTCTCTCTTTAGTTTGATTTCTTCGTACCTACGGTTTTAGTTCTAGCAATTGATTCAAAAGCTGTATACACTTTATCCTTTGTTGGCATCCGTGACATTAATCGTCCTCGTACTCTAATTAGTTATAATAGGACTATAAAGGAAATTAGTAGGCTAGGTATAGTCTCTATAGATAGTTAGATAATGGTTAAAGTAGTTTAATAATAGAGGTAGTACAGATACTAGAGAGATAATTACGTAGGTACTTTAGCGTTAAGAAATTTTAAGAGTTAATGTTTTTAATTAAGCCTTAGGCTAGGATTTAAGGCTTAAAAATCTTATAACATTATAGGTTTCTAGCAAGGCCGAGAACTAGCCGGGTACCTACACTAACGATAACTAAACTACGCGTGTATATAACCCTATAACGCCTAACGTATAGCGCCCGAGGATACGCGTGTCACGAATCACGTGTTAGCATGTGACGAGTGAAGACCAGGCGGCGTCCTGACAGGTTAAGCACTATCATGCTCTTATAGCGAATAGGGATCGGCTAGACTAGCTAAGCGATCCAAGGATTTCATTATAGTCACGTGACGGATCTTTGGATCTGGATGGATCTTGGGGATCCTAGGATCCAACCAGATCCATGAGCAAGAAGGTTCTATATAACACTGGCATGTCTGCCATTAGATAGGAGCTTCGTGCTCAACTTAGTTATCAACTTAGTTATCAACTTAGTTATCAATCTTATCATATTAGTTTGACATCTTTGATACAAGTAACGAGTTCACTTCCAAGTGAACAACCCGATAGTCTTCTTCTTATCATAGCATACCAACCAGCGAACACCCAGCCAAGTTTAGTTAGCCAGTTTGAGTATTCGTTACAACGCGCCCCTTAAATTTCGCTAAATCGATTAAATCTATAACTTATAATTTTATTACGTTAGTACGTATTATATACGCGCGATACCTGTGACGGTTATGGTCACGAGGGCTGGATGTCACATGCTCGCTTAGCGAGGCGCTAGCGCGCACGACCTGTATTTAGTTCCCAGCTCACTAGAGCTCTCCTTCTTTCCTCGTCTTTTGTCCTAAGAATAGAGTGTTAATTGTTCTGAGTTCTACCTGAAGCACGTCTGTCACCTGATTAGTCTATATATAGCTAAAGTATAAGCGTTTAAAGCTAGCTAGTAAATATAAAATAAAACTAATAAAAAGCCTCTTATATAATACGTAATAAATAGATAATAAATAGTAGGGGTTTATAGTAAATAAGGGAGTACAGGTATTATATCCCTTCTCGTACTTAAGTATAGAACTCCTTAATAATAATACTATAATATTATCGTTAGTTATTGTGACGACACGTACGCAAGGCCCACGGTGTAGGTTGTGGAATCGTAGAACTGTCAATTAAACAAAGATTCTAAGCTGAGGAGAAGAGGAGAGCTCGAGAGAGCTTCGATCTAAATACTTGGTGTGGGTCGCTAAGCGAGACCACGTGATCCGAATGGTGGTGACGGTTAGAACCGTCACAGTTATACTTTTAAGCTCTCCTAACTATATACCCCTCGCGGGTTACTTGCCTTAGCTTAGTGCCTATTTTACTACTACGTGTTATACTTACTTATTAGCTTTGTACCTATTCCTAGATAGTTTTACTACTCCCTTTATAAGACGCGGGCCGAGAGCGCTTATCCTTTAATTATCCTACAAAATAGAGCCTTCTAATTAGTCTATATATAGCTAAAGTATCAGCGTTTAAAGCTAGCTAGCAAATATAAAATAAAACTAATAATAAGCCTCTCTTATAATACGTGACGAATGGACGATAAAACAGCTTTTTTCAGCTTTTCCTATTTAGCTGTCCGCCCAGTTTTAGCTCTTTCTCTCGCTCGCTCTTGGCGTTTCTGTTTCTAGCGAGATCTTAGAATAAAAACCATACTGTTTTAAAGAATCTGGATTACCAAATGAGAGGCTTGAAGTCTCAGGCTTCAAAATCAGAGGGGTTTCATGATCTCAAGAGACCAGTGGTAGAGAATACCTAGGTACAGGCAAGTGAAGTTATGGTGAGTTTAGTTAAGCAAAAAGGATCCAACGCAATGCGAGAAGTTCAGAAAGAAATATAATTCACATGAGCAACATTGATATGTGAATAAGAGCATACGGGGATACAACAATCTAAGAGGGGTATGTTCAGAAGAAAGTATGATTCAGGCGAGTAACATTGATATCTGAATGAAGAGCACCCTGATTGCGTTATGGGCTCTGCGAAGCTATCTTATTCCCATAATGGGAAGACTTAAAAGGTATAAAAGGCAGAGATGTTCTGGTTCTTTACAACTTCTTGTTCTACATTACAACTCTTTTACACCTTGCAAGCAACGAACACAACATTTCGGCATTTAGAATCATAAGACTACTTTCTCAAATTTCATATCTAAGCAATCAATATTTCTTCTTCCAATGACGACCTCAGAAAGTCTCGCTGGACACGGGAGGAGGAGGAGGAGGATCTGTACTCATTTTTGTTTTGGATGAAACTTAAACTAAACTTTACAGCGTGGCAGAGTAGAAATCACGCGAAGTGTTTACCCTGGGTTTAGGTGGTGTTTTGGGGTTTATGCAGAAGCAGTGGTATAGTACTGTAGTAGGGAGCCTCACCGCCAAAAGCTTTTATAAAGTCTGGGAGCTGAGATGGAAATTTTCTTGTGTATAAAAACAATGTATAGTCTCCAATAGTCGCTCCGCTAATCAGTCATTGGAGTAGCATCAATCCTACCGATAACTCTCTCAGGAACTTCTCCAGCTGCAAAGACAGTGTATCCTTTCTTCTTTACCCTCATCGCCCACTCGGCCGTTGTCCCTCGGAACGTATCCAACGTCGCCCCATTCCCTGTGTCCTCCTTGAATACAAAGGAATGAAGAAATGGGGCTTTCAAATAAAGCCGTGAATTCTCTGGTAGTGGCTTGATATTTCCCTCCTCATCTTCCCCATGACACCCCCCTACAATTCCTAAAATCTTCTTATCAAAGCTTTCAGCAATCAAGATTGACCTCTTGTGCGCCGCGAAAAAATTGCTGCCAGCGGATACGACGTTGCCGATAGTCACCCCACGAGGATTGCTGACGATCAAAGGGTCGACATCTATATCACGATCGCGACACTGGCACTCTTCAAGGTCATAGGCTTGGATACAGATACAGCAGTCGTCAACATAAGACTGGTAATCTCCCAGACACTGGACTCTGAAGGACATGGTTGAGGCTGGTAGGTGAGTTACGTAGGCTTTGGAAATTGGATGAAAGGTTTGTGTTTGGAGGTCGAAGTACGGTCGCGTGGCTGAAAGTGGATCGGTTGCATCGTTGGCTATCAGGTTTTCTGAGATGGGGGCGAAAATAGGCCATATAACTCGGAAGCAGTCGATGGTTCCGTTGTACGAGTAGAGATGATGTCTGCTATAGTAGGACTCCGGATATATAGTGGATGTGGCATCATTCTCTGATTGAGGGGTCGGCGAAGCCATTTTGTGAAAAGAAAAAAGGTCGGTGGCTGAGACGTAAAGAAGTGAGGATACGATAGGGGTTTGTATACTATCTCGAAGAAGCTAAGCAAAATTCATTACAAATTTACAAGTAAAAAACATCAGAGAGAACATAGATTTATCCACAATTTAGTTTTTCTTGCCTTTATTATGCAGCTTTATTAGTGGCTCTGGTTCAAAGTACTGTACGCACAGGAAGGGTATAACAGACAATATGGACAAAAGACTCATATTGGATAAGTATGAGTTTTGAGGACGCTGGAGATGGACTGGTATATGTAGATGGCTAGGATAAAATACCTTCCAGGCACCAGCGGGTCAGGAAAAGATGTATTTGAAATGGAGTTGACTGCTCACTTTAACAGAACCTTGCAGGTAAAAAAGATCTTTTGGCCAATTAGGCCACGCTTCTAAGTATGAGTCTCAATTCAACTCAGTACATCCGCTTGTATCCACCTGAAGTCCATGTTCACACCTGAACCTTTGGTGTTTGAACAGGTTAATACGGTTGGTGACATGACACTCACTCCATTACATCATCTCTCAAGTCATGGGAGTAATCAAGTAGCACAGCGCTGCGAGTAATACAAAGAAAGATGAGCATTACGAAGGTTGCGTTGAGGGATGAGGGATGATTGAGGAACGTAACGACCATCTAAACTTGGGCAAAGTTGGTTCCAACAAGAACATTAATCTATTATTCCTTTATCCTATTTCTTAAACGACGATCTCAAATACGGCCCTACTAGCAATGCGTTGGTAGAGACCCACTCGCTTGTTGGTTTTTGTGGGTACTTGTTGGATCGAAACAGAATTTCCTTACCTGGGATCTTGTCTTTGAACAGTTGTTGGTTTGGGGAATGCTGTGCTTTTCTTAGACGAATAGATAGATTATAGATATACAATAACTCACGATGATCCACTGTTAGTTCTTTGTGAGCTTTTGTTAGATTACAACAGTGTCTTCTTACGAAAGATTCTTTTCTTTGAACAGTTGATGGTCTTGAATACTGTGCCTTTTCTGAACGGTTTGGGATTCCAATGATTAGATCAATGCTGGTAACACCAACTCTCAACGCTCATCTGTTCTTTGTGGGCTTCTGTTAGATTACGAGGCTCTGTCCTTCCGCAAGATTTTGTCTTTGACGGTTTTTCGATATTAGAATGCTGTGCCTTTCCTTAAACGATCTGGCTTTCCTATAATTCGATAGGTTCTGGGCATGAGTTATACCCCCCTACTACCCATTTCGTTAGTTCTTTATAAGCTTTTGTTAGATTACAACTATTCTCCTGAAGCGAGTTCTTTCCTTTGAAGAGTTGTTGGTTTTTGTAATGCTGTGCCTTTCCTTAGAAGATTTGGCTTCCTTATAATTAGATAGATTCTAGCTATAATATAACCACAATTCCATCAGCAGCACAACTCTCTTACAGTTTAAAGTATTAAAATCAACCTTTAATATTTTAGATTATAAAACGACTTTATTGAGCTTCATATTTGTACAAACGTTATGTCTTCCTCAAACCCAAAAGTCGGCCGTCGTCCATGGAAAAAAGAAGAACGTATGCTATGGAATGGAGCGTATAGATTGCATCATGGCCTCACTCCATTGTACCTAAATTGGGAGTGGAAGGATATTCCAGGGTTTATTGGCAAGCGTACTTACCAAGGGCAAGAGAATTACCGATCAGTACACGCATGTGAAACACATTATGAAAGCAACAAAAAGAGGTTTAAGGACGAATATAACCAGCCTAATAAAACTGCTACTCAACACGGTATCCCTCCAAGTATGTCAGTCTTACTCCAAGACCTCGTGTTCTAGCTGACACAGTTTCACAGGGCAACTTCAAGCTTACGAGGTTCACTTTAAAGTTAAAAGGAAAGAGGCTGTTCTAGAAGAAAACAGGCGTTATTTGGTAGAAAATGCGAACAATATGGAAGATTTCTCTAGGGAGGTTGGGGGACGCACACAAGCAGAAAGTCAAGCTATCTGTGATGCACGTTTCAGGATGGATCCTCCATCAGGAGAAACTATTTGGAGATGGCAGGACTGTTTATAGTGGCTGATAGATTGTCGAGGGTTTGATAAGGGCACGAAAATAGCTATAATCAAATCGTGGTGGCATAGGGCAGGCAAGTTTGCTGACTTGACACCAAATCCAGAAGCCACTAGAGATTATACACCACCCCGTAAGTACAATATATCGCTTGATAAAGGTAGAGATTAACTGAATGGTTGATATAGGATTACGACATCCAAGAGATCCAAAACAGCAAGAATCTTCATCTGACAATGAAGAATCTTCGTCTGATGATGAAGTTAAAGCGGCTGCGAATGTGCTGAAGGGTCTTTCAGAAGAGATAATTAGAGAGATGAGTGAGGAGACTCAAGAGAACCTTGATGAAGATTATGAAGCTTTTGACGCTTCTGGTGCTTCTCTTCTTAATGACCCTACGAACCCTGCGATCGCGCTCATGCCGGGCCCCTTTGGCCAGCCCCCAGAAAGCTATGAGAGAATACAGTGAGAGGAGGAGATATAGAACTTTACTAAAACACTGGGAAGCTCAAACTCCACATGATTTAGGAATGAGCTTGGGTCAGTTTGGTGGATGTCATCTCATGCTTTTCTTACATTTTAACTTTTAGCACAGAAAAAAGCAACAAAAATGTGCGTTGGATTTATGCTTTGTTTCAACTTGGACTTTGAAAATACAAAAACAAGAAAAAAAAGGCGTTGGGTTTATGATTTTCTTGTACTTACACTTTACATTAGGGAAAAAATAACAAAAAAATGCGTTGGTTTTTTTAAATAGTCTTCTTGAAATGGCCTTTCTACGTGAATTTCTATGTGACTTTGCAAAATATGTTAATGAAATCTTTCAACATAGTAGTCATGAAGTTACCTTGCACATATGAAATTTCTAAAGGGATGTGTTTGTTTAGCGAATCACAAACTTCAGTATAAAGTAACGAAGTAGCTCCTGTTCTAATTTGAAAAAGGCTACCAGAGCTACCAAAGTACGTGAATAAAGTGTTCCTTCTAGAATTCTCTGTTCATAAGACCCCCATTCTATTCCTTGTTTCTCATTATAAATATAACAACGCTAATTTGTAAAGACTAACAATAGGTATGGCATCACATATATCACGTGTAAAACCAAAATTTACCGAGAAAGCACCGAATAATCCACCAAAAATAGAAAAAATCCCACAAACTCCTCCAATTGATTACTTGACTGAAAGTAAGAAATTTTTAAAGACAAAACAAGACAGCCTCCTTGGCACAGTGGTACTGCGTTGCACTTGTATTCACGAGTTATGCAAAGATCGCTTGTTCGATTCAGGCAGGAGGCATGACGTACTTATTTTTTTCAATTTTACTATGAAATCGGTTCTCTTTTTGGGAAGGTTTGAATAGAAATTTTTGGTTACTTTTTGTGTTGCTGGAAGTAAGAGTGGGATGAGTAATATACATCTTAGCTAAGAGCAATATGGGAGCTCCTTATAATTGCTAGGAGTGGTGGAGTGACCCAAGTTCTAGCGACTTCGCTAGTGGATTTGTGTTTTCATTATTATTATTATTATTATTCCTTTTAACGTGCTGTGTGAGTCTGAGACTATAGTAGCACGGCTGGGGGTTTCCCTCCAATAGATGAGTAAAGCTGTACTAAATACATGTTTGAGAAGGGGTTTATGGTCATTACAGTTCTTGGGTTGTTGGAAGCAGCTAGGCTTCTGGTTATGACAAAAGAAAAGTTGTTATGTTGTAGTACGCCCCCTCGTTTCACGCCCTGTACGCTACACTTCCTCGTTCTCGTCTTCCTCGTCCTCATCTTCCTCGTCCTCATCTTCGTTCTCATCCTCAGTTGCGCGTTGTGTGTGCCATATTCTAGTGGCGATTTTGGTGGTTCGAATAAAGTCAAGTGTGGCCTCGACTCCTTTGGCGGTGTGAAGGAGGGATTTCATGGTGAACTCTCGAATATGATGCTTGAGGAGGTTGCGCTTTAGTACTTTCCTAGCATCCCCAGTTTCTGGACAGCTAAGAAGGAGGTGAGTGGGAGTCTCTTGTCTTCCACATCTACAGCGGTTGGATTTGTGTTTTCTATAATACCTTAGTTGATTCATTTTGCAAAACAGCCCAGAAATGGTTTCTATATTTCGAGTTTTATAATGATTGATTCTTGGACTTCGATTAGTCTAATGATTCATCGGAGTATTTCTTTATTAATTCATTCTATCTATGGAATAAGCGAAGCCGAATGATTACCGGAAAATAGACTATAGGTATGAAGTAGGGAACTCTCTGACAGTCTGACTCCCTCAAGCGGCGTATCCAGGTTTAAAATTAATTACTGCAGCTCTACGTAGTAGAAACTCAATCCCGTTGACCGCTTTAGCTTGTAGCAGAACCTCCAAATGTGGAAGGGAAACCCATCTCACAAGCCCACGTCCCGTATAAGTCGTCTTTTTCTGTACTGATAGAACAACAATTCGGCCATTCACGTATATTTTGGTACTTATTTATTCACTTCACTTTTGGTCTTATTTAAATCGCTTCCTCCGTATGTTTGGCCATCATTATCGTCAGCAGTCGGTCAGCCCTGCATGTTTCTCGTATGGTTACAGCCAACACGAACGGCACTGCACAAAAGCGGGCATTACGCCACCAGCTGTGGATATCATCTATTCCATGTACTTGTACCACACATATTTCTTCCTCGACACGAGCTGAGGAGGAACCGTAAACTATGGATTCAGACATGGAGAATCGTGGCCTGGTAGATTTGGAAAAAGAGTTGACTTGTTCTGTAAGTCTCCTACTTTATTATGCGTTGCGGTGCTCGGATGAACTTGCGGGGGTAGGGAAGCAAGCTCCATGACATCGCTCAATGCGCCGGCGCCTCTCCCAACCCCAGTACTCGAGATGAAGAGACCACTTGCTGATCATATTTCTGCCGGCGTAGATATGTACGGAAGTGCTCTACCAACCTCTCACTCTCCTCGACTGCCTGCACACCTTCTGCGGCGCCTGTTTGAAAGAATGGTTCCGATGGCAACTTACCAATAGTCGCAATGCCCAAACTCCTCTCGCGCCCGGCACGACGCCCTATACTTGCCCATCATGTCGCGATCCGGTGCGGAATACACGACACGATTCTAGAGTGACCACGCTCCTCGAGATGTTCTTGGCGGCGAATCCAAGCAAAGGTCGAACATCGGAGGAGAAGGAGGAGTTGGCAAAGAAATACAAGGTTGGCGATGAGATCCTGCCCAAAGTTGAGATCAGGGAGAAGAGTCTACGGGAGAGAAGAGCGGAGGACGAGGACCGCAGATTGGTGGATGAAGTGAGGAATCTGAGCCTAAGGGAGGTGGGGGTTGCGGGGGAAGGGACTGGGGAAAGGCGGGAGAGGAGAAGGAGAGAGGAAACCAGACTGCGACCCTCACAACCAAGCTCGAGCAGAGAACAAAGTAGAGATGGCCGGAGCGGTGATGACAGGGAAAGACATAGGCGGAGAGAGGCTGAGGCTGCAAGGAGAAGGACGAGGGATAGCACCCTACGAACGGATTCAAATTCAGACAGTGGGCCGGAGAGTCGACGGCGGAGAAGTGATGCTGAATCAAGGAGGAGGCATGAGGAGACACATCGAACGGCGGCCCGCCAGATTGAACACCAGTCTTCTTTGCGATCCTTAATCAGTTCTTCCGACGTTGACTCCCGGGACATGGAAGAGGAGATTCTACGTCAGATCAGGGAAGAGGGGCTCTTGGATGGCATTGATTTAGAAAATATTGATGTCAGCCAGGAAGATCAAATTAGCGAGAGAATTGCTGAGGCGTTTCGAAGAAGACAAGCTGAGAAAGCTGAGAAATTGAGACGAGAAAGGGAAAGAAGAAGATCCGCTGATCAAAGAAGACAAGCTCGAATTTCAGAACCCGGGTCGAGGGAAGTTTCTGGAGATGATAGAAGTTCCAGAAAGCGAATACATTCCAGAAACACTAGCGCAGTAAGCCAGGCGAATGAACGAAGTAGGCCACCTCCATCCATGAGCCAGGCTCATGCTGCTCAACTAGGAGTACATGGTCAGGACGAAAGACATCACCGAAGGCGAAATACCAGTGGTAGTCGAAGCTCTACCGCTCCTGTTCCCATAGCGGATCCCATAGCGAGACCAGCTACACGATCGTCAACCGATTTGAGTAGCAGACCTCGATCATTAGATATGAGCATTACACGACCACACGTTACTACCAACTCAAGAAGTTCGACAGATCCAGCAAGCCAAAGACCTCGTGGAGTTTCCACCTCTTCCCGAGAACGGCAGCATGGTTCGAATTCTAGCCCACGATTGGAAACAACTTCTCGTATTGAGGATTCTGCTGTACCACCAACTGGCCCTACTTCTTCAACACGGAGGTCACCCCCAGCGGATATCTCGACCCCATCTTCTTCACTTGCTGTGTCATCCTCCCCAATCGAACAAAGTCTTGTGCCCGCTCCATTGACCCCTAATCACTCTCCTGGTCCTTCTCCCAATCATTCGCCCCGTACTTCTTTATCTGACAGGGCCATTGCCTTGTCTAGCGGTACGAGGCCAACATCATCGTCTTCGGCTTCACAAGGGCATAGAAGCAGGGCGCCGTTTTACCCGGAGCCATCTATAACGTGTGCTCGTTGTTCCAGGCCCCATATCGAGTATGATTTGCATTACAATTGTGGCATCTGCCATGGTGGTAATTACAATGTATGTCTACGATGCTTCCGCACTGCCAATTTCAAAGGCTGTCTGCACTGGTTTGGGTTTGGCTATGCTGCATGGACCAACTGGAAGGCTCTAATTCGATCTGGCGATCTGCCAGCATCTGCAGAGAAGCCACATGGGCTTATTGCGAGCCGATATATACCACCAAAGACAACTCCGGGAGGAGCCGAGGGTCGAAAGACACTTACCAATGAAGATCCTTTGAAGCGACTTCAAAGTGGTGTTTTTTGTGCTAACTGTCTTGCCTGGGCAAATGAATGTTACTGGCGCTGCGACTTTTGCAACGAAGGAGATTGGGGATTTTGCAATACCTGTGTAAATCAGGGCAAATGTTGTACACATCCTCTTCTCCCATTAACTTATAAATCGCCGGAAACATCTGATATCACTCCTATGTCACCAATTCAGATCCCTGCATCTGCCTCGATACTGACAGGCCCAGATGTAATGAATATTGGGCACTTCAAGCCATTAACTTTCTCCACAGCTTGCGACATATGTCGTTCCTCCATCGCCCCAACCACAACAAGATTTCACTGTCTTTCGTGCACCAGCAGTAAATTGCCTAACCGCCAATCAGGCGACTACGATATATGCTCAAATTGCTACACGAGACTTGTAGCCAACCGTCGCATCAGCATGGAAAATGGTCCAAAAGGTTGGCGACGCTGTCTCGAAGGACATCGTATGATAATCATTGGCTTCGAGTCAAAGCACGGTGGACAGCGACGAGTCATCACTTCAGATCTCATCGGTGGATGGCTTCTCCATACTGAAGCCTTCCCCTCAACCGACTTTCCAGATTTGCAAAAGTGGTCGTGGGGCGATAAACATCAGAAACTCGTAACTAATAATGTGATGAACACTACCCCCCCTTCGATCCCAAATTTTGAGCAAGATGCTGGGTTTCCGGCTGAAGGAGGGGAGGGTATGCGGTGTGTAGCGAGGTGGAGTTGGTATCCTGAGGAGGGTGCCGATGATGAGTTGGCGTTTCCGAAAGGGGCCGAGATTAGGGAGTGTAAGGATATTAATGGGGAGTGGTGGCATGGTACTTATATGGGAAAACGGGGATTGTTTCCTTCGGTCTATGGGAGGGTTGTTGGGGGTCCTAAATAGATAGGGTTGAGTTTTTGTTTATAGAGGGGAGACATTTTGATTCCTGGGTCTGATGACTTTTCACGAGAAGAGTTGTTTTTCTGAGGTTCTAGGTTATGATGAGATATGAATGATACCAGGTGCTGAGTTTTCTATGTTTCCTTTTTGTTATCAGGCGCATTATTATCTGAAATTTGAAACTGTATTGCTCTCTTGGGTTATTTGAATAAGTGCCACCATGTTGTTCTTGTCTCTCGTTGATTTTTGGTTCCAGTTTTTTTTATACTAATAGAAGCGCTCCAATTGCCATGAAACATACATACAATTCTAACTAGCATCAGAGCACGCTTATTCTAAACAGCAAATTCTCAAAACACATGCACAACGCCTTTGCCAGAATCAAACCTCATCATCCTCCTTCCCCCTAAGTTTCACAAATCTCCCCCTCGCCCTCCCCCTCGCCCTCCTCCTCGTCTCCGTCCTGCTAAAACGCTTCAAAAACTTCAAGATACTAGCCCCCATCCCAAGAAGCGCCATCACCCAAGCCCCCAAAATAAGCGGCACCAAAATAACATGATCCTCCACCCACCCAAAAACCCTATTATCCCACCTCACCCAATTTCCACCCCGCCCCTTGCTAAAAAGTGCCCATTCATCCTCCTTCCCCTCCTCCATCATCACGCGGTGGAGTCTCATATCACTCTTCACGCCTAAAACTTCCCACTCCCCGCCTTCTTCCTCGTTTAGCGAGGCGGCGACGGATACCATGCCGTGGTATTGCTCCCAGATGGCGGTCAGGAACCATTGTCCCGAGGCGTAGGCGACGGTCATGTAGGGGAAAACGTAGTTGTAGGAGTAGGAATGGAGCGAGTTGGTGAGAAGGGTGAAGAAGGGGTGTGAGGGCGTGGCTCCCATTATGTTGTTTGGGAGGGAGCGGGTGCCTGAGTCGGTTATGAAGACCGGGAGGGCGAGCAGGGGCTTGAGGGGGGCGTTGCAGCCCTGGGGTTTTGTGTTAGTATCTGGGCGTTTGGGATATTTGAGGCTGAGTGAGGAACTTACGTTATCTAGGTCGAGGTAGATTCCTCCGTAGTGTCTCATTAGGAAGTAGCGTATTGTGTCGGCTCTTTGGACTGGATGTCTGTATCCATCGTAGGTTTTGAGAAACCAAGAGTAATTCAGTGCAAGAAATTCTCTGGATGTCTTTTCCGTCCATAGCTAGAATAAATGTCAGTCAATTCTCCTTACAGTCCCATTTCTCGGCACTCAATTATGACAAGTAACCCCAAAGGAACACAATCTTATAAAATGAGAAATGAACATACCCTAAACTCCCAACCTGGATTCAAAGCCTTACAAGTACCTCTCAGCTTCTCCCAATCCTCTGGTAACGTCTGATTATCCAAATCCCGATCCTGGCCTCCATTCCAATTGTGCCAAACTTGATGTATAATCTTCGGGATCACTTGCTTATGCTCTTCCTCCTTTCCTATCCCCTCGCCCAAATACGAAGAATTCCCAAACGCATGACCACGCACTACCTCCGCCTGGGTGATAGCGATACCAGAATGTTCATGGAACAACCCGTAGAAACGACTGAAGCTACGTGTCAGGTAGTATAGCGGTAGGATAAACAGAACAACACTTATATACTGGCGAGGGATCATCTTAAGGCGTGAAATAGTAGAGAACGTGAGGAAAGAGGAAATGAAGAGGTTGATGAAGTTCAGCTGAAAGACATGGAAAGGCGACCACGAGAATTAATCAGTGACGAGTGCAATCTAAAAAAAACTCAATCCCATCCGCACTTCGCACTCAAACACGAAACCAATATATTTTTATCGATGAAAGCGATAAAACGAGATGTCCGGATCTGTCGCTTGCGTTATAGGTTGATGAATACGTGGCGTAGCAGCTGTCAGCCTTACTGAGGATCGTCGCATCTCTGACCGTTGAGCTCCTTTCAGGTACTGGCTCGTGCTGTTTATAGGGAAGCCTAATGGTGCGTAGGGCGATGTTCCCTGTTGCAACTTTAATGCGAAATTGCAAGGGTGTCTTTTTCAGGTGAGACAAGAAACATGTTGGAAGTTTATTGTGTTTTGGGTTTTGGTGATTGGTCTGTTCGTCTGGTGTAAGCGAGACGGGCCGATGATGTCGATAAGTACCAGTTGCGAATGCTCCGTCGCCTTTATATTGAACATGTATCACCAAAGATGATATCAGGTTAGTTGCTTGTTTTGGGACGACTAGATGGCGGAATTTTGGCTTTGGAGTGACGATATAGCCCTGTAGTAGGGTAGGTAGCGGGTTAATGACACGTGGATCATAGAATTAGCTGGCGTCGCTAAAACTAGCGAAGAGGTGTCCCATGTAACTATCTGATATCATCTTAATGTGATTCGTGACTGAAAAGTTAACCTTATTCATTACAACCTGAAAAGAGACCATGTTGTTCATTGGTTAGATCACATGATATGGCCTGCGACATGCGTCCTTGAAGCTCGCCTACCATTCTCTACATAGTCTATTTTAGTAGTTTTGGATGCCTTCAATCTGCCAAATTGGCACGCTTGTGCTTATTCAACACAACATAACCGATGTTTCGAGAAGTTCCTCATTGAAGAGACACAGCCTCAATATTTCAAAATTCGAAATGCAGCGCTTCGTTCTGCACATATAATTGGCTTCTAAGCTTAGCCACAAATGGGCTACACGCCCGAGCCTTGAAATATAGGCCTTACTCAAAAACTTTGTAGTTACAACATCCATTCTCCATATCCAACGTTTATACCTTGAATTTGCCTCGTTTTTTGCAATTAACTGAACTGTGCATTTGATCCGTAAGTCTAGTCTGAAGGCTACTTACCAGTCATCCTATACCAATGTCATATTTTTGGAATTTTTAGGCCACTTTAAGTCTAGACTCCAAATGGACACTTATCGGACTTCTCAAGTCCATCAACCAAACACTACTCCCCAATGTATACTAGATAGCTCCTGCACCGCCCGGCGTAACTCGAAAGTGGGTCAAGGACGTGCTATCCTAGGTAGAAAAACAACATATAGCTTTGTACTAAGATTTGCAACGTCTTCTAATACAAACAACAACTTAGGCTAAGTTCTTTACCTAATACTGATTAAGAATTAGTATACGATTATTTATACTAAAAGAGAACTACGAATAGTTTACTCTAATTAAATTTCTAGTCTTATTAGAAATACATAGTTACGTTCTAGTCCTGTAACTCGATATCTCCTTACTAAAATTGGTACAAATGATAGGTTGGCATTGCTAAGGTGTCAGAATTAACCTAGAGTTATACGTTATAATACTTTCACGCGAGGGTGCTTAATCCTGGTCAAAAGTTACGCCGGGCAGTGCGGGAGATATAAACTGGCGGGACTAGTATGCTTGTTCTATGATTTTCAGCCCGGGTAGTCAGGGAAGTAATGCCCGCGGAGAAAAGTAGGTTTCTTGTTCTTACTTTCTGAGCTCGACACTTTCTAGGTCTAACAAAACATGGAACTATAAGCGAAATGATTGCCGAATTTGCGGTTGTTTCTATTGGGCGAGAAGCACAAACATGATGCCAAAAATCATCAAGCAAAACGGCTTAAGGACTCGGAACGCGCGATTTTCAGACAATCATCTTCCTGGTTTCAAGAATGGACCGACTTATCATCTGTGGACACAATCCTCTTGTAAAAAGAGTATTTTGAGTTTTCATTATATCGTGCTAAGGAGATCATACTGTATGTTGGAAACTTTCAGATCAACTGAGAAGCGGCAATAGAACCCAACATAATTCTACGTCGGTATCTTACCCGTCTTGCTTTCCTTGATAACCCCCAGCAAACAACAAACCTCTGAACACCCATAATCATTCTACCCAAACGAAACAACCCTCTTCTTCTCTAATTCCTATAAACGTGTCAACCATGAAAATTGCATTTGTATACCTGCTTATCGCTTTCTTGCACTTCGCATAAACACTTCCTCTCCACCTACAAACTGTCTTGAATATAATTTCAGCAGTTTAAACTTCAACTCCATCTTCATTCCATACCCCAGCACATCCCCTCTCCCCCCCCCAAAGAAGTGAACTTGTTGTAATTCCAGGATAGAATCCAAGTAACTAATTAACTAACCGAAACATGAGAAGCAGGTGGAAGTAAACGAGAGTATGTGAATATCCAGACTAGACTCAAAGACAACACGCGGTGGTTCCCAAAATGGGGCTAGGAGACCTAGAAAATAGGTCTGGAGTAGCTAGGAATAGCCTCATTTTGTACTGCATCCCTATACGCATATTCTTGTATGTATATACAATATCATCCCCATCTTGCGTATATGTGCATAGAATTAATCAAAAAATCAAAGTATCGTCCACAGCGTTCGGCAACTGGGATTCCATTCCATTCCAGATACCCCCTCTAGAAGGATTACATTCTATTTAGTATATTTATAGAAGGATTCCATTCTAGAGCTACATATTCTATAGAATATATAGAGTTTCCAGCTGGAATTTGTTACATGACCTGGGAAAATGTACTCCTGCTCCGTCGACTAATAGGAAGTCTCCAAGGCCCTATCTATATTAACTAGTTAGATAACAAGTTATATTACGTGAAGCTCCCTAAATGTCTACCTTATATAGGGTACGAGTATCGCAAATACTTCTAGAGTTAATTATAAAGGAACGTATTAGGTACTATTATATCTTCCTAGCTACTTACTTAGCTCTCTAGGGCTGTATAGCTCCTACAATCACGTGTTTTAACTAGTCTAGAATTCTATAGATTCCATAGAATTTCTAGAGCCTACTAATAGAAGGAATCTTTCCATTTTATATAAGCTCTAGAAGGATTCCCGATAGAATGGAATCTATGGAATTCTATGGAACTCGTTCCTTTTGCCGATCGCTGATCGTCTAATACGTATACTGGACATCTGATACGCCTATTTCTACCCTGGTACAATGGATCACGCCTAGTCCTTCACTCTTCTATCGGTTTGCAGTTTGTTCTTCAATGGCAGTGACTTATTTCTGCGCCATCCGGTTTGTGACAGCTCTGGCTAAGTTATTTTCTGTTTAAATGCTTCTTGAGTCATAGATTCTGCGACATTCATGCTGGCGAGCGATATAATTTCGGATGGGTCGCTATCTTGTTCTGCAAGCTCTTTGTTGCGGCGTCTGGTAATCTCGCCTAGTTTTTGTAGTGTCGACCCAGACATACTGTCGGTTCTTTCTAGTCAAAGGATATAATGGAATTGAAAAAAAGAACTTTTAATCGTAGATCTGTGCTATTGTAACCCTCAAATCGACGAATTGATCAACACTACCAGTGATTCGTCAATTGGTACGCATGGTGGAATAGACAGTATTATTTGATCACTTCTAGGATGCGAATTACTCGCCATTTAAATTAATACTTAGAATCAATTATTAATTGAAGCACACCCCTCGCCTAGGAAAGTAAATAAAGCAACCCAAAATAGTGAGTAATTAAATCGCAACGCCTCGCAAGTCCCCTATACCCAAGTAAGCAAAAAGTGAGGCTATTTCCAAATACGATTATTTCGCCTTTGTTGTAGCGGTGGAGAAAATTACCTGGGGCAGGGAACATAGACCCTCATATAGATTTGTATGTTGTGTAGTGTTTACTTCCCACTGTGAGAGGCCAGACCTTGAACAACTCAAAGGTGAGGTTTCGAATGTTCAATTAAGAAGTGCGTGAAGACTACATACATGCAATCTCTTCCTCTATATATAGAGAGAGGAATAGTTTCTGGAGTCTTCCAAGAAACTGTTTGACAAATACGTAACGTCAAAAGAATAGAGTAGAAAAGTGTAGAAAAGGAGAAACCAATTTAGCAGTGGAGCAATGGCCAATGCTGAGCGGGGACTTTGGTCAGTGCTTAGCGAGGGCATGGCCCGAGCCTCCATCATGGGTTCCAACCCTCACACCCACATTCCATTCCTCATTCCACACCCACCACCCCACTTGTTCCACACCGTAACAAGCCACAACAAAAGGCCATTATGGGATGGATTATCATATTGGTGACGTCCATAATGGTATTCCACAAATCTATTGTACGGCGGTTGCAATAGTCTAATTGGTCAAACCGGCAAATCCGGGGTTACCATAGCACAGATCAAGTGATCAATGACGAAGAGAGGTTATTCCAGCCTACAGACTTTTCAGTAGGAAAAAAGCACCAGTAATTGCCGCTAGCTTTTGCAAATGGGCTTGGACCCCCTCTGCATAAAACCACACATTAATCACTGATTGGCATTGGTTTAGTTGGGTGAGTTCACAAGAACAAAATTAAGCTATGTGACATGGTACATGCAAAAATCAATCACACAAGTACTTGCGGAGGCCTGTATATTTTGTCTTCCCTATTCCTAACTAAGAGAGCAATAGATATATATATCAAAGAGTGTATTGCAGTGAGTAGTACAAAGTGGTGGAAATTGTGGAGATTTTGTCATGAAGGAACTATCTTATGTGGAGAACTCCATACCAGAGTTCCTACTGACACATACCCTTACATAGCTCTCGGCATTCCTGGCTTATAATTTTCCCTCGATTGCAGTACTAGCTTTGAAGCTGAGAACAAGTTACATGTATAAAATCATTTGATGAATTGAAAACGAATCTCTCATCTCTCCTGCCCTAGAATAATACTATTGTTGTCTCCGAGCAAACGGTCAAGTAGTGAGCTGGAACCATTTTTTTGTTGCATAGTCGTAGAAGGAAAACTTTCAATTCTATAGCAGTCACCCCTCTCTAGCACCATCACGCCTCTACCTGATCCACTCCTCTTCTGGTCTCTTCCTCCAATGCCTCAAACACCATAGCACCTGCCGGAAGAAAACCCGCCGTGCTGAGAAGCTGTGCATCCCCAGCTCTGATCCCTATTGATCCCAATGTTCTGCTGATCTCCGCTGAGATTGATATCAGAATATGTCTCACACCAAACACTATCACCTCCAGAAATTCCATATGCAATCGGAAATTGATAATCGTTGAAGCTTTGACCGTTGGTACTCCGAGTAAGCGTATGTGATGATAGGGCGTTGCACTTGCAGTCTTGACAGTTGTAACCGTATAACGTTGCGTCCGCCAATGCCATGGAGATGCATGTTGAGAACGTAGCAAGGTGGGTGAGAATTCGCATTTTGAATAATGACTACAAAGTTTATTATCATGTTAGCAAAGCTTTAGTATAAATAAACATTGAGGACAAAGTAACTGAGAATGGACATTTGTCTTACAGATTAAAGAATGGATGGGTTTTTAAGGATAATAGATGCTCTCAATGCTTCTATAAGTGGTTACAGAGAAAGGAGAATCTTTACGAATCAAAGGTATCTGTGAAAGGCCAGACCTCGAACAACTCAAAGGTGTGGGTTCAATATTCAATTAAGAACTACGTGGTCTGTAAATACATGTTCCTCCTCTACTCTTATACTAAATGTAGCATTTCCATTGCATTCAACACTGTTCCATAGTATTACCAATCTTCTGCGTCATAGCATTCTATCTTATTCCATGGCGTTCCAGAGGCGGGGCCGCTTAGCTTAGCGAGGGCTCTTGGCCCGAGCCCCACTATGGGTTCTAACCCTCACAGTATCGGAGATTAACATCCATTGAATACAAGCTTCTTATATAGATACAGCCAAGGTATGGAAGCCTAATAGAGTAGGTCATATGATTGTTTTATATTAATGAATGGTATGCTAACGCATTAGGCAATACCTCCATAGTAGTATTAGTTGTGCCATAGAGCTGAGTTGCCGAGTTAGCGTCTGAACCAATAGTTCTCTTATGATATTAAAGAAGCTAGGACGCATCCAATTCTTGATGATTTCCCAGGATGCTTTTGGTTACCTAGACTGCGTACCGTGTTGCCTCGTATGGTGATGACTATATTGGCTCGGTGATGTGATAGATAGTACATGGGCAAATGCTTTTCTGTGGACTCGGCCGAGATAAGCAGCACGCCCCCATTGTAAATACTGTAACCACCAATATCTTGGATTCTCCTCTCTCCTTGCAGACAATCCATCCTACCGTGTTAGATAGTCTCTATGCAGAATACTGTGGTGGCAGAGTGGAGTAGCAAAAGTTAGTGAGACATCTTTTTGAGCAACTAATAGACCAGCTTTCGAAGGGTCCTAGGGCAAAAAGTCAGAGCGTGTCGCTGATCCTAATCTTCTACACTCAATCAGAAGGGCATTTTCTGCCTATCCTACAGTTTAACAACGGTACAATGACAACCCTCTGCCGAACTGTTAACTCTTTTAGGCACACGGCACCACACCGCGTTACAGATATTGATAGAGTAAGCAGTTGACCGCTCTTTTCAAGGATACTAGATAAGAAATGACTAACAAATATCGACGATTACGGAACGGACTTAATCGTATAGGGCTATAATATAAAATACAACCTATCCCTTCAGCTGCGACCAGAAACACCTTTTTGTAGCCCTTGTAGGGGTAAGAACACTAACTTTCTTAGTATCTTTGATTCTATATTATTCGACTTCTATAACGTAGAAAACACGCGAATAGATACTATATATGTAGGGAATCGTCTTCTAAATATTTACTTATTAAATATTCTAGAATATCATAAAAATACTTGTATAATAGTATAAAATCACCTTGCTTATAGGAATAGACAAAGAAAGGGGTGTATGAGACGTAATTACTAATAATAAGTAAAGATAAGTAGTATAGTATTAAACGACCTTTGCCTGTATTAGATTCGACGTCTAATCATATAAAGAAAGGTCTTGTTTCCGTAGCGTTCATCGGTTATAGTACTTTTTACACCTAAAACTTATAGAAAGCATGAAGTCCTATTAGATCGCTTAATATTCTAAATAGTAGATCGCGAAAAGGTGTTTCTGGTCGTAGCTAAAGGGATAATCTATGATAGATTTGTTAAGTTAAGTAGCTGAGTAGTTTCGTTCAAACGCTATACATATGTTAGGTAAAGAGACTATCAGATTTTACCTCCCTCATGCTTAACTTAATAACTCTAGTAATATGAACAGAACCTACGTTTACCTTCTAATAAAACAAACTAGATTTAGATAATAAGGAAAAGATTTACACAAGGACTACTAACTCTTTCTCTCTTCATTAAGCTATCACGGTGTCCTATAACATCATCGAAAAGTCACTTATCCTAAAGTAAGAAACGCTAAACTAAAACAACTCCTCAAACCATTTCATCCCATTTAAGGCCCGTTAACAATTTTTCGAGGTATAAGAGAAATAATATTATTACGGCCGATAACAAAATGAATTGGGATTCACTATTATAGTGGTAGGGCCACGGGGAAATGTCTCGCAAAAGGGGTCTCGCTTATTGTTCCACCAGTGGCAATCTCTCCAAGATCAAGGTTTCTTGTAAGAATGTCAGTAGTAATCAAGACTCTACTTCTATCATCTGCCCAGCCAGCTTTGTAATTGACACCTCTCCATTTCTAATGTAGATATCCCATTTAAGCACCTCCTCTAAAACACATCAACTCATTCACCACTCCATTCATCCTGATACACAGTGAATGCCCCCTTTCCCATCCTCGCTCTAGCCAAAAAAAAAAAAGAAAAGAAAAGAAAAGAAAACAGAAGTCCAAGTTCCTCAATTTCCCATATCCGAAATCCAATGTTCCTTCCCCGTCAAAGACAATAGCAAAGAAATACCCAAGCACCCGTCCTCACCCAGAAGACTTGCGTTAATACCTCGATACGATCAAATATTATCTCTTACGCCCATCAGTTTATCACTTATCTCCTTTCGTATTTAGCATGTTTTTCGTAGCGAAGGAACTGCGGACGGTTCAGTGCTGGATATCTTATTTGGTGTTACCACAACCGATTTTCTTTAAAATGGGTTGTGTTTGTGTGGAGATGATTGGTTTTGGAACCTGAGGTTGTGAGGTATAGTGAAGAGCTTCTTCTATAGAAGATATAGCCTCGTCAATTTGAATTGGCTGCCGTTTCACATGTGTAATCGTATAGTAATATACCCTTTTCATACATCTCTTTTATTGACAGAACTAGATAACCGTAGCCTCGTTAATTTGATTCTGGCTGTTAAACTGAGCCATAACAAAGTCACACAACAGCAACTTTCGAAACTACTCTTTCCTCTTTAACATAACACTCATAACACGCCCAGTGTATACCATAATTCATTGATGAACACACATACCCAAAACCCTCTCCATCCAAACATCCCACCATCTCAAAGGAGCGATCCGTCAGTGCAGGATGCCTATTCAAGCAGCAACCAAGGAACCAGTGTTCCCCTCATGACAAGGACCTCTTCGGCGCTTCGAATATGGCTACAGACTACCTCTAGAGTTTCGGTAGTACACATCACGGCATGTACAGTACCAGTAAGCGAGGAAGTAATAATAGAAAAATAGAGATACAGCAAGCTAAGCTTGAGTTCATCATACCTCCATCCCATGTCTTTTTCGAGATACTTCGTGACTCTTTCATTTCTTCTTTCTCGTTTCTTATTTCGCATTGTCACTGTTCTAGCTCCATAATCTCATTCATGTTACTGTACTGTAAGCAAGATAAGCGAGATACAGTAAGTACAGTCATACCTATCAAGAATCCACAACCTACTGGACATACACCATTTCTCCAACCAGTAGATCAGCAAATCTTTGTTGCCACAACGCTTCTCCAATCTCCTCTCATCACCGTTATCCCAGAAAAGTCAAACTCTTACAGTTCCATCCCTCACTCCTCCCCACCCTCACCCACCAACCCCAGACTTCCTACTTCCAAAAACATCAGCAGATTGCTTATTCCCAAAGCCTCACCAGGTCCCCTAACCCCCTAACCCCCTAATCCCGGGACTTCCAACCACCCCCACCCTCTCACCAAACAATCTAAACATCCCAAACCCCCTAATCTCCAAATCCCACCCAAGTCCCAACCTATCCTATCCTATCCTATTCTATCCACCCCTACGTTACATATCCATCAACGATTCCAACCCCTCTCAACCTAACACAACCTAAGCTACTCCAGCCTAGCCTGCTTAGCCTCCCACAACCTCCCTACTCTCCCCACCCCCACCAGCACAATGACGTACAATCCCCCCTCCTCACTTAACAATCCCTGCTCCCCTATCTAATCCTACCCACCCACAAAACCCACTTCCCCACCAACCCCAAATAAACACACGCCACCAAACATCTACACAAGTTCACAGTTCCCCCATCCATCCCCAAATCACCCTAAGATCACACACCAGTATTCACAAAAACAGCCCCCCCAAACTAACTGGCACCTCCTCCTCCAGCTCAGACATCAGACAAGACAGTACGGTACAGTACAGTACCAAGCTCAAGAAACCTCCACACCCCCGCCACCAGGCTCCAGTGATACCATCAAAAGATTTACGAGATACCTCAATCCAAGCAAGAGAGGGCGAATAACTCCCTATCTTACAAGAGAACAGATACATCATACCTACGTAATAACTCTACCAAGGAATCACCTCAGATATCCTCTTACCAATCGTAATAACCCCCACTTCTCACTCCTCACTCCTCCCCACTACAACTCCTCACAACAACAACATACCAAGGACCCCTCCTTCCCATCCTCATTCCCATCCTCATTTCCATTTCTAATCTTTCGAGAAAACCCAAAAAAAGACCACTCATCCATCCACCGCAAAACAACCCATCCACCCACCAGTTAGTTGACAAAAATAAAACCCAACCCAACCTTTGCAAACCACAAAAGCAGAGAACGCCCCAAGGAACCCCACTCAATGAAATCGAATCCTGGTCATTAGCTATCCAGTCAAATCTCTATCCCAAAAATCGATGTGATGCTAAAACTCCCAATTCCATGCTTTCTACTTGGGGTATGCTTCTTCTTTCTCCATGCTTTCTCGCTTTCTCGCTTTCTCGCTTTGTCGCTTTGTCGCTTTGTCGCTTTGTCGCTTTGTCGCTTTGTCGCTTTGTCGCTTTGTCGCTTTCTTGAATACGAAACCCAACGACGACGCCATCATGATCATGCTCTTTGCCCAATACGTCTCTTTACCCCCCCCCCCCCCCCCC